ACCCAAGTAGTAACCTAGAAAATCCCTCAGAATCAACTCAGCTTTAATTCTACTAGGTTGGTCCTTCCCCTCAACTCAGGCCCTGCCTACTTCCCACTGTATTTTAAAGGGAACCCAGCTTCTAAGGTCCAATTCGAACCTGAGCTCTGGTCATGTATTGTTTCTTTTTTTTTGCCTGGTCTTCCCTATTTGGGGGTTTGGACCCCTTGCCCCCACATCCTCATCCATGACAGCATTGATGTAGGCTCACAAGATGGACCAAGATGACGAGGGCCATGGGGACACATAGCTCACTCTTCCATGTGCCTAGGAGTCTGAGCTCTGGCAGGAGGGGCAGGGAGGGGCAGACAGGTGGATGGCTCCCTGTGTATCTTCTGGTGGAAAGTGCAGTCGCCCGAGAGTGAAGAGGATTCAAGTGGCTCTTTCATCATTTAACTGAAAGGACCCTGGGAAAGACTGCATCTTTCTGAACTCCCCAAAGCTCACAGAGTTTGGCACTTGGCTCATATACAATCTTGTAGTTTGGGCTGCTGTGATTGTAGACTGTCAGACAGCAGGGCCCACGTTACACTTCCACCTCCCCCAGCATTCTGCGAACAGAAATGTGTATGCACATGTTGGGGGGGGGGGCAGGGGGCGCAGCTGGGGGAGAAATGCTTACATTAAAAAAATCTACACACATAGCATCTAGGGTCTTAAAAGCCTGTGAGCAGCCATCTAAGATACTCCACTGGTCTCACCCCTTTGGGAGCAAGGGAGAATGAAGAGAACAGGATACAAGGAAAAGATCAGTCCAGAGGACTAATGGACCACAGCTACCACGGCCTCCACCAGGCTGAGTCTGGTACAGCTAGATGGTGCCTGACTACCACCACTGACTGCTCTGACTGGCATCACAACGGAGGGTCCTGGACAGAGCTGGAGAAGGATGTAAAACAAAATTCTAACTCACAAAAAAAGACCAGATTTACTGGCCTGACAGACTGGAGAAACTCGAGGAGTATGGCCCCAGACGCCCTTTTAGCTCAGTGAAGTCACTCCTGAAGTTCACTGTTCAGCTAGGGATTGGACAGCCCCATGAAACAAAACGGGAATAATGAGGCACAGCAGTCCAGGGACAAGGACTAGAAGGCAGGAGGGGACAGGAAAGCTAGTGATAGGGAACCCAAGGTTGAGAAGGGACAGTGTCAGCACGTCATGGGGTTGTTAACCACTGTCATAGAGCAATATGTATACTGTTTAATGAGAAACTATTTATTCTGTAAACCTTCATCTAAGGTACAAAAAAAAAAAATTACGTGAGATCAAACTGACAACAGCAACTCAAAAGGTTTGATGCGAAGCCTAGGGGGCAGTGAGTTGAAATAATCGTGATGGAATAATTTGGAAAAGGACAGTTAAGAATAGCAGCACAACCGGAAGAATGTAATCGTTGTCACTGAATTATACATATTGAAACTTTTGAAATGGTGTAACTTTGGCTATGTATATTTTCACCAAAAAAAAAAAGGTCCTTCAAGGTCGAGGAGAGTGTTGACATGTCATAGGGCTGTTAACCAATGTCATAAAACAATGTGTACTGTGTAATGAGAAACTATTTGTTCTGTACACCTTCATCTAAAATACAATAAAAAAAATACATTTCTACAGTGTCCAGCTTCATTTGTTCACGGGTCCCTCATCCCATCCTGAGGAATTAATAGCTCCATTTTATAGATGGCGAAATAGGCTGTTAACTTGCCTTGAAATTTATTCTTATGTTTACAGGGAGAGAGACAGGGCAGTCAAAATGGAAAAGGCTGAGAAGAGGGAAGCAGGGTAAGCGTGAAGGGGAGATATACGCAATGGCAGAAATGTGCAATTTTGGACCAGACTTGTATTGGGGGAGTACAGAGAAGGGAAGGGCCATCAAAGAGGGCAGCAAGTTTGACTTGATGAGATGGGTGGGTTCCTGGTGGGAAATAGATGGGAAGAAGTCAGCTGGTGGTATGGAAAAGACCACAGAAGAAAATCCTGAGTTGACAGGACTGAGTAAGGAAGTCTGAGCTGGTAAGCCAAGAAAGACAAGGTTGAGAAAAAGAAATGTGGCAGTCCTTGTAGGAAAAGTGGTTTGGGGGTGGCACTGAGGAGAGGGCCCCACAATACCAGACAGGAAAGAAATGAAGCTGCGGGGGCCAAGTAGGTTAGCACAGCTCCTCTGAGCTCTCAAAGAAGCCCCAGTGCTGACTTCAGATTTCCTCAGGAGGTGGGCAAGTAGGCCAAGATGGTTTTGGGGGTGGGTCCAGCATCCCACTCACCGAGGCAAGCCTTTCTCTTGAGGTGTTCTGATGACAGACTCAGAACCTCATACTTTATAAATGAGCAAAAAGCATGATTTCACTGCTGTTTCAGCATAGTACTTGCTAAACTAGTTGGACAGTTACTTCAGTACCTCTGGTAACACAGACTCAGACCACAATCCATCTCTGTATCCTTCCACCTAAATCCGCAAACCTTACCATCAGATGTGAAGGCAATTAATGAAACTTTCCACAGGAAGCCTCCCAAATCAACAATACTGGTACTTCTCTCTGCAAATCAAGCTGATAAGGTGTGAATGAGGGAAATACTGACAGTGGAAAAGGAGACTTGAAATTAAACCAAGAACTCAATCTAACCTAGCCAGGAATTTGTGCCCTGGGACGCAGGCAGGTTATTCTCTGGGCAGGTTGTTACTCATCCTTAAAGTTACTACCCTGGCTGCTTCACAGGGAGGCTATGACAGGTCCTATTTGGAAACCGGGAGTGCTTCACACACAGAGAACACAAATGTGGGCTTGTTTTTGCTAGGCAATTTCCTCAACTCTGCTGTAAGGCTGCAGGTATCGCTGGCTGTCCTCAGCACTGATTCTCAGCCACCTGCATATCAGAGTTTGACTCCAGGCTCTGTAGAGAGCCAGTTACTCACTGTAGCAGGGATCCTAGGTGGAGGGGGTGCGTAAGAACTCCTGAAAGTTGAGCAGAGGCTCCCTGAGGCAACAGAACTCTGGCCTAGTCAAATTCTTGTCCTGCTTCCTGTTCACTGTGGCATTTCTGTTCCTGCTTTGCCACCTCCACCTCTGGTTTGCCCAGCACTTTCTCTTTAGGTGGTGTGATCTTTTTTTTTGGCCACATACACCGCTGGGGTGCTTCTTCGGTAGGCACTGTCACCAGTGCAACAATGCTGCAGGTCTCCGTCCCACTGTGCTTCAGAAACCTGTTTTGCCTTTTAAGTTTTCCTCCCAGCCAGTTGTCTCGGAGTCAAACCCAAAGCTGGGCCTCCTGGTTTGCCCTCTCTCTTGACTCAGCCTGGGGAATGGTGAGCAAGGAAAAGGGAGCATCAGGACACGTCCACAAATGCTGGAAAATCACCACCACCACTCTTTCTCAGCCTTAACATGCTGTTTTTTGTTTTTTTTAAGTCACAAACTCTGTTTTTTTACCAGCACTGACAGAGCTGGACAGAGGCCTCTGGAGCTTCCTGTGTCAGAAGTAATAGAGAATGCATACACTACCATTTTCAGGAGAAATGGTTTGCTCAGATGTCAGTAAACTCCAAAGTGCCTGTTCCAGATCAATTTTAACCGGCATCTGAGAAGAGCCTCAAGTTAGCACTAAATAAGAGCTATCATTTACTGAGTACTTCCTGTGTGCCAAGCACTGTGTTAAACACTTTTCAAGCATTATCTCCTTTAGTCCTCACAGACCCTGAGGGAGATACATTATTCCTTTTAACAGATGAAGAAACTAAGGCTCCAAGAGGTTAAGTAACTTGCTCAAGATCAAACGGCTAGCATGATCAATCTGGGATCTGAGGTCAGGACTAACTGCAAAGCCAAGGCCCTTAACTTGTACAAGGCTGTGCTGCCTGCCTCCCAATAAAAGTACGTATCTCCATGTCTCTGTTTCAGTCAGAGAAAAAGCCTTACAGGTGGTCTCCTCCTAAACAGCCTGAGAGGGAGAAATTCTGGCATGGTTCTGGAACCTGAGGCCTAGTCCCTCTGTGACCTCACAACATGGTTCTGGAACCTGAGGCCTAGTCCCTCTGTGAGCTCACAAGAACATTCTCCAGTGAGGAGGTATCAACCTAGGTCTCCCTCCAGCTGGTATACCTAAAGCATTCTAGGACTATAACTGCCTGGCAAGTTGGAGGTGGTCCCAGCCCTACATCTGTTGTGTGGTTTCCCCTTTCTTGGCCCTGGGCTCTGAACAAGGGTATTCTTTTTTCAAGTCCCCTTTGCCCAATAATAGAAAATATTTTAACCTGGAGGTAAGATTCATGAGAGTTTTGTTTGTGTTGTCCACCACAGAATTCTCAGGGCCTAAAGGTGCCTAACATGTAGTAGGTACTCAGTAGTGGTTGAATGAATACAGCAAACGAGGTCATGTAAGAATGAGATTACTGAATGCCTGACTGCAAAGTATACAGCAAATTACATAATAATGAACTGTGTACAACTCTGACTTTATGTTTTCCAAGAGCAGAAGACGTCATACTAAAAAACTGAATGGAGAATCCAAAGCAAGAGGAAGACAGGAAGAAATTAGTTTTAAAAAATTAGGGAATGGGAGGCTGAAGAAACAGGGCACTGCAGTTACTTAACCATCCCCACTCCCAAACAAATTTTACCAAACACACTTTCAAACTGAGAAAAAGCAGTTTTAATAACACACACATACATTCATAGGACTTTAAACAGATGTAGTATAAAATCTTAAAAAGAAAAAGGAAATGTGCATTTTCCTGTAAGCTGCCTGTCTCGGAGCTGGTGGATGAACTGGCTAACAGGGCTGCCCAGGGAAACAAATGCACAGACGATGAGGTGCACCAACACTAGTAATGAGTAAGCAATAACAACCACAGATCATGCGAACTGCTCCACTGGTCTAGCCGCCTGCACCCAACTCTTGCCTCCTTAGAGACAAACCAGGACAGTCCTCCCCTAATTCTCCAACTCAGTCATCACTTGTTAATGGGTCACCTCTTAAATTTTTTTTTTTTTAATATTTAAAAATTACTCTTGGCTTAACGACTTCACACTTTAATACTGGCCAGTCCCCACCATCTATACTTGTTTTGACAGAAATACTAATGCAAATGCTCCAGTTGAGCCTGGATGACAACACACCATATTCTATCTTTTACATTTGGGGAAATTTTGTGAAGTCAAAAGCAAGCTACTACTTGCACTTCAAAACAAAGACAAAATGCCAACCTTCTAGAAGGTGACAAAGGCACCACTGCCATCAGGAGACAGGAAATGTACAAATGCTATTACTGCTACATAGATGCATGTTTTGTCCATAGACAGCCTCTTCACATAACATGATATAACCGATATAATTATATTTCCAGATAACAAGAAAAGCAGTTTAGAAAAGGCAAACAGTTACACACAAAAGCATAAACACAAGTACCTTAATTTTCGGCTTGCAGTAAGGGTCTAAGTTTGATGTACCTATCCAGAAAATTAGATAAGGTGATTTTTGGCACAGTAATATTGCCAAACACACCACCACTCAGTGCAAGCTTTGTTTGCCAAGTCCCAAATGTGGCCTGACATTTTCTGTGCAATGAACATTTTCTCCCTACCATCCCATTCACTGGGCAACAGAAGCAGGAGGGAGACAAAGCATGGGGACTCAAGAGGGAGAAGGAAAATACTTGATTTGGGAGAAAATCCATGGGCTACTACTTGTGCTGAAAGAGAATCACCAAATTTTTATGAGAATCCAAATGCAAATACTGACTGGACTGTGACCCAGAGACTGAAGTCATCTACCAGAGTCATAAATATAAGGGCATAAATGGACATTTGGTCATCTTCTTTAAAGAAAACAGATGAAGTCAATTAAAAATAGATTATTTTTACTGGAACTGTTAAATAAAAATGTATCAAAGTGATTTTAAATTTGATGGGCAGTTATCTTGTTGAAACTGCAATATAAAAGGGTCACTTAAAAAATAAAACCTGAATAACCCACTTGTCCCCCCATCAATGTACACGATTAGAAAATATTTACACGCTGTAATTACAAGCAATATAAGCAGTATTTTATACTTTGAGATTTTGTACACTTTACACAATGCAAAATGAGAAAACTATGAACACTTATAAAATTACACACAAACAATGTATCTACAAAGTATTAAATTACAGAGTGAAAGCCTCTATTGTTGGGCAGATAGATGCCAGAGTTTCAAGCTTCTGTCAAACATAACTCTTTCTATCTATCTCTTTAACCATAAGTGGCATTTTGTAATAATACCCTTGAGAGGTAGTATCAAGATAATATTCTTACCAGTAAACTCAACACAGAATAAAACTTTTGTTGGTCTGACTCTTGGAGCCTCAGTCGGCCAGGTTTCTTGGGAACTGTATTTACTTAAATCTTCTCTATAAAATCTCTAACTGCCCAATGCTTGACATGGGCTTAAAAGTTACCTATGCAATTTTAAATGATAAATTTAAGATAGAATGCTTTTTACTTCTAAGCCTCAACTTAGAGGTAGAAAGTCATTCCTCAAAATTTTATTTTCTCCCCCTCAAATCATAAACATCAAGTCCAGTTCCCTTCCCCATCCTTCCCCCCACAACTGAGGACATGAGAGTGCTCAGGAGAGCAATGTCACCCAAATCAAAATTAAAAAAAAAAAAAAAAAAAAAAGTTGACATTCACTTTCAGGAAACAAACCCTCCCAAAAGGGACACTCAGTCATTAAAAGAATTTATCAGTTTTAGCTAGTAAGAGTATGTCACTACCAAAGGCTTCAAAGGGCCCTTGGACTAAGACCAGCACGTGCACTTCTACTAACCCTCCACCAAAGGATGGCTTTCCAGTGTTTAAGAATTTAGAGCAGCTGTGGTTTTCAAGTGCAACAACTTCAAAATACAAGCACACATGTGCATGTGTGCATGCTTTCGCTTACGCACATGCATACGCGTGCACACACACAGTTTCAAAGAATAAACGCCATCCAGGTCTCTGCTAAGGTCATGTACTCGTGAAAACAAGGTGTTTGAAAACTTGTCCCGATCATTAAGCGTTAACAATGTAGATTTCTGTAATACGGCTACCAAGAGCCAAAATGCTAAGATTTAACCAGGATTCTAAGATTTAATGAGTATTTAAAAAATACATATATACGCACCTAAAAGAAACCCAAAACAAACTGCATGTGAATGTTTTGGCATAAAAACAGAGCCACTTTATAGCTTAACCTCTTTCCCCTTAAGAGGATCTCACAATATACCAAACTTCTGTTTCTCAATTGTTTGTCTGAATGTTATTTTAAAAACCTAACAGTTATAATCTTGAATAGTGAAGAAAAATGCATGAATTAAAATCTCCCTGTGGCTTATAGGAAACACAGAAGAGATGTATGCTTTTTGTTACTAAACTCAGTTCTAAGCTTCCCCTTTACTCTAAAATAACCAAGAGGGAAAATTAAACTCAACTGGAGCTTAGTGCTGATTTCCATGTCCAATCCCTCACGTTGGTCCAAACCCTTTTCTTAGATATTTCCTGTGATTATCCAAGTACCATGAACACTATCCAAGAAAAGATAATTGCTTACAGTTCAACAAGAAGAGTTAATGGGGCTGGTTAGATTAACTGTTCTACTCTGCCCCTCCCTTCGTAGGACTCTCTTCCTTTGAAAGGCCAGTTGCCTTAACAATTAAGCAGATCATGTTTCATATCCACTTCAGAAATGGCAATTTTGTCATTACCAGCTTCATACTAGATAGTCAAGTGGCACACTTGCAGCATATTTTCTTAGCATTCCATTGGATTCTGTAGTAACCCTTTCTACCCCTCTAGGCAAAGCTCTTGTTCAATTTCTCTTGGTTCACATCTGTGCTACTGCAACTCCTGTTAAGAATCTGGTACCCAGAAGTCATGAAGCTGCCCCTAGAAAAGGAAAAAATAAGCAAAACCAGGATGAAGGAAAATTTAATCAGATTATGAATTAATCCTTACAAAACTACTAATCATTAGACACTGGGCTTTGATCGTTGAAGTAATAAAATCTTTATATTATACATTTCTCTAAAAACTTATGGTAATCAGATTGATGCTCCTCATTCTCTGGTCTAACAGTAAGAAACAAGTAAAACCTAAAGTACAGGATGTTTTGCTCACCACCACGTACACCTGAAGTGTCATAATAAAGGAGATTAAGTAAAATGTTAAGCTGATTAATATAAAGTTTTTCTATTAAATTCTTTTCTGTTTTAATGCCACATTAAAAATGGCCAGCCTAGTGTCTACTGAGGCTAGAAACTAAAATACAGCTCACGATTTCTCAAAGATTTCTCTAAAAAGATACGCATATCTTACGACAGACACCAAGAGCCGAAGAGTCAAAATGTCATAAAACAGTGAGATTGCTTTTCCCAGTTAATCTTCAGTGTCCCTGTTATGTTTCTGTAAGATGTAAGAGACCTCTAGACCCTTGCCACTCAAACTACGGTCCCTGGACTAGCAGCATTGTCATCAATCTGAGAAACTATTAGAAATGCCAAATATTTCAGGTCCTACCCCTGACCTACTGAATCAGAATTGCATTTTAACAGGTTTCTGGTTGATTCCTAAGGAGCCCTAGTGGTGCAAAGGTCAAGTGCTTGGCTGCTAACCAAAAGGCTGGCAGTTTGAACTCACCCAGCAGCTCCATGGGAGAAAGACCTGACGATCTGCTCCTGTAAAGATTACAGCCTAGACAACCTATGGGGCAGTTCTACTCTGTCACATGGGGTGACTAGGAGTTGAAATCGACGCTATGGCACTTAACAACAACAGTTGATTCCCACTGTACGTTAAAATTTGAGAAGCATCATTTTAGACAATCCTGAGTTAGTCTGTAAACAAGCAGGAGGGCAAACTTAATAGCAGTGTAAAAAATGCCCCTCTTAGGCAATGGCTGTTTAAATATGTTACCAAAAGCACAAATGATAAAACAAAAAATTCAGATAAACCCGACTTTATCAAAATTAAGAACTTTTGTGCTGCATATGATATTATCAATATAGTGAAAAGACAACCCACAGAATGGGATTGGGAAAATATCTGCATATCATGTATCTAATAAGAGACTTATATTCAGAACATACAGAGGGCTCTTACAACCCAATAATAAAAAGATAAACTAAATTAAAAAATGGGCAAAGACTCCGTAAGACAGTTCTTCAGAGAAGCTATACAAATTGTTAATAAGCATGTGAAAAGATGCTCAACACCATTAGCCATTCGGGAAATGTAAATTAAAACTACAATGAGACTACACTTCACATCCATTAACCCATTAAACCTGTTGGTGTTGAGTGGATTCCGACTCATAGCAACCCTATCGGACAGAGCGGAACTGCCCCACAGGGTTTCCAAGGAATGGCTGGTGGATTTGAACTGCCAACCTTTTGTTAAGCAGCTGTGCTCTTAACCACTTGCAACCAGGGCTCCTTATACCCACTAGTATGGCTATAATAAAAAAGACAGACAATAACAAGTGTTGGCAGGAATGTGAAGGCATTAGAACCCGTATACACTGTTGGTAGGAATGTGCAATAGTGCAGCCACTTTGGAAAACAGCTTGGCAGTTCCTCAAAATGTTTATCATAAAGTTACCATATGACCTAGCAATTCCATTCTTAGGTATATATCCAAGATGTTTTCATTTGGTATTTACCCAAGTGTTTTCACCGGAAAATATATACCCACACAAGCTTCTACACAAATATTCATAATAGCCAAAAAGTGGAAGCAATTCAAATGTCTACCATGTAATGAATGGATAAATAAAATGTGATATATCCATACAATGGAGTATTATTCAGCAATAAAAAGGACATACATGCTACATCATAGATGACCCTTGAAAACATTATGCTAAGTGAAAGAAGCTAGTCACAAAAGACTACACAGTGTATCATTCCATTTATATGAAATGCCCAGAATAAGCAAATCTATAGAGTCAGAAGGTAGATTAGTGGTTGTCAGGGGCTGGAAGGAGTAAGAGGAGTGACTGCCGATGGGTACAAGGTTTCTTTACAGGGTGACAGAAATGTTCTAAAGCTATACTGTAATGGTTATAGAACTGCAAATATACTAAAAACCATTTGTATATGTTAAATGGGTGAAATGTATGGTATGTGAATTTTATCTCAATAAACTTGTTAAAAAAATGTTCCTCCTGAAATAACTCCCATTTGATGCAATCCAAAATTTTAAAAATGAGCTCCAATCATCTCCAGAAGTAAATTAATATAAAGCAAACAAAAACTAAAAAACATACAAACCATGTATCTGCATGTATTATACTGGAGTCTTCCACTTATCTGAAGACACTTAAAAGCAAGTGCTCTGTTATATTTTATTTCAAACATTTGGAATAAGTACCGTTTAGCAAAAATAAGAATAAATAAAACTGTTTAATAAAATGACACCTGAGTAGGCTGGCAGTTCTGGATTATTTCTTGCCATTTTCCATGTATCCTGGCAACCAAGTCTTTCACCTTAAAAATATCAAAAAGGGGAAAAAAGGATCAAATCAAAAAACATCCTCACCTAAAATCAATTTAATGCTCGATACCAAAGATCTGAGTGCTGTGACAGGCCCACATCCGACAACACAATTTGATTTTTGTCAAGAAAGATAAACCACTCATCTTCTGCAGTGGACTTCAAAATCACAGTAATTAATAAAACTTCCCTTCATCACTATAATCTAAAATACCAAATGCTGAGGTTGGTTTTCCTATTAGTTATTAAAAGTCATCCAGAAAAACATATTTATTCCCTGCCTTCAAAGAACTTAAAATTTTCAACTTGTTGGCCAGACAGAGAAGCTGAGGGTGGTTTGCGTTTTAGGTCCCAAGGCTTTGGCTATTCTTTGTCTTCCCAGCTTCCATTTGAAAGACTCAAGGTCACAAAAAATGCTTGTCATCTATTCATCTCTACATCACCACAAGTTCTACATTTCACTGTTATTCCTCTCTAGGTTTCTGCAAAGGATATATATCCTCTTTAACTATCTGGGATACTCCTATACTTGGAAGTTTAGTAAGTGTCTGTGTAAAACTCAAACTTTCCTACCACTCTAGAGATTCTCAACATAGCTCTTGAAAATAATTGCTTGAAAAAAATGTTTTAAACAAGTCAGGAATTTCATAGCTGCTCCAAGTTTGAAAAGTGAATTGCAAGCTCTGCTTTCTTCCTTCATCTAGAGGTCAGCAGATTCAGTTACTCCAAAACAATTGCTACTTTTTCTACGAGAGGCTTTTGGAGAGGCATACAACTTATCTATTTCAGCAGGACCATTCCCTAAGCAAGTTCCATGGACCACTGTGTCACTCTCCACTCTAAGTAAGAGAAGCTCTGGCACCAACCTGTGCCTGGACCTGGTTTTAAGAAATAAAAACCTTGGGTGGTCCCTTTCAGCATGTCTGTCAACAAGTAGCCACTACCACCAAGTTCTACGGGCCAGTAACTCTAGTCAATGTTCAAAACAATGTGCTTCTAAAACTCTGGTTTCCACTCTGAGGCAAAGAGCTACCCCTCCAAAGTGTATTTTAGTATCTGCAATCTGATATAATTTCATTAGTTGCTCATTTTTGTATTTAACTTAAATTTACTAAAATACAGATATCAACTTCAAACAGGCATTGTTCAAATGAATAGCTTTTACCAGCTAGTTAATGTATGATATAAAGTTACAAACGTAAAACTTTACATTCAGTGATTATCCAAACACAAGAGGCAAAAAAAGATCAGCTTTACATTACAAAAGCTAAAAGATGACTGGTGAGTAAAAAAAAAAATCCTTAGAAATCTTTTTTTTTGTTTTTGGTCAAATCATTTTAATACTTAACTTGCTTTCCACTCCATACACATATATTCAGCTTTTCCACTATCTTTGAATATATTGAAACTTTAAGAAAAAAAGCTCAGCAAGCTTTTGCTGAATCATTTCCACCCTAGAGCTCAAAATGGGAGATGTACTGCCCAGAAATTTTAAGAGTCCTTCCTTTAACACATTCTCTCTAATGGAATATTCAAAGAATAACAGCTAACCTATTTTTTTTCTCTATGAACAAAAGTTTTCAACCATCATAAATTTTTATAACCACTGCTTTATAACTTATACATTTATTTAAACAATGTTTTAATCCTTGAAGCTAACTTAAGCATAAAGCTCTTAATCTGTGGAACAGGAAAAAGCTAGTAAGATTCACTTGTACTGGAAGAATTATTTTTCTCCTTGGGTGTCAGGAATTTCAGAACAGAAAGTATAGTAAAATGAAAAACGCATTTGCTTTTGAGATTTTTCCTTTCACTTTCAATCTAGTTAGAAGCACTTAGCTGAGTTGATTTCCATTATTAAAGAAGAAACTCATGTATCTAAACTTACATGTTGATTTTTTTAAAGAGAGGCTTAAAATGCTTCTCTGATTCAAATATAATGTAATCAACCAAGGTTAAACAAACAAAACCTAACAGTATGTAAGAAAAAACACACTTACCTTAGTTCTATAAAAACGTTTTGGGTCTTCCCTAATATCACATTTAACATGCTTTTCCAAAGCCCCACAGAGTCGCACTAAGTGTTTCTGTGCAAAACAAACACAAGGATGAAAACTACTCTGAAGTATTAAAAATGAACAAAGAGATTATGTAGTTAGAGTAGCTAACAACCATTTAAAAATCTATCATCCCTCAGTTAGCAATTTCTGATGTGTATCATCCAACACAACAGCAACTGTATCAGTTATAACTGCCAAGACAGTAGGACTATTAGGGTTTATTGCTAGCTAATTTAGAAAATACACCAAAAAGTAAAAGTTGTCTTGCTATGTATTGAGGCATATTAATGGAAATGAACCTTACAGCTCAGACTGGGTGATGAAGTACCCAGAAATTTGAAAAGAAAACACATTCTCTAGTATAATATTCAAGTAACAGCTACCTTATTTTTTGTCTGTGAACAAAACAAGGCTTTATTAACAGAAGATCATACTGAGTTCCTTAAAAATTAAGTGTCTTAAGTTTTAGAAGTGTATAGTACAACAGTCACTCTCATACATAGTTGGAAAGAATGTAAACAGATACTTTTGAGGAGGGAAATGTGGTAATAGCTCTTGTAAAATAATTAAAATTTGACATATATATAACCTTTGACCTAGCAGTTCTACTTCTAGAATTCTCTAGGAATTTAACTTATAGACATGCTTGCACAACTGGACAGAGATACATGAACACACATGTTCGTGTTAGTTAGCTCTGTGTATAATCGCAAAAAGAAAAAAGTAATGTGCATCAAAAAGATGTTAACTACCATTGTTATTAAATAATTAGAACTGCTAATATCTTAAAATGAAAAAAAAAGGCAAGTTACACATAATAGTATGACTCCATTTTTATAAAAATAATTATATTAGGATATGCATAAATTCTGGACAAATTTAAGAAGGGCACTGGATTACAGGAGTCTTTCACTTTCTACCTTGTATGGTTTTATAACTGAAATTTTAAATAATAACCATTGATTACTTTTTAACCAGACAAAAAATTTAACAACTATAATGACCATATACGAACATTACAAATAGATGACTACTTTAGGTTCCAATCAGGACAGCAAACATATAAAAGCACATGAACCAGTCTTGCACCCTTTCTATCATGCCTAGGAGACACCAAGTTTCAAAATGGGGTTGGAAAAGCTCAGATTTGAAACGAGAAATTTAAACAAGAACTTTCTCCAGGAGTATGGATCATGGCAGTATGGAAAGAACAGGATAATTCAAAATGAAAATCTTAGTATGGGGAGGTAATGCATTTCTGAAATTTGGCAATGCATTTCTGATGTAGCCTCCCTTACTATCAGTCTAATTTTGAAGGCAAATGTTACTTCTAAAGAAGGAAAAAAAAGTGAGGTGGGAGAAGAGATGGGAAGAAACCAGCCAACAGTTGGCCCATTTAGTATTTGGTGACCTTGGTATTTTATGACTATATTACCTTGTTGCCAAGTTATGATGGTTAAGTTCCACACAACACATAGAACTAACGTTTGCCAACAAATTATCTGTCAATATGACATGGTTGCAAGGTTAGTATTACTCCCCTTTCTCCAGTGTATACTGGGAATTCTATGGCAAATCCACAGTTAACTTTTTTCAAGTTTTCTCCTCTATAAAGGATATTCTTTCATTCTATTAAAATAATGATACCTATAGAAAAAAGAAAAGAAAAAGCCACGCTAAAAATTACCTACCCGTTGTCCAGAAGAAAAAGAATGAGAGCAACTAACTTCACCAACTAAATGAAGAAGAACGTAGGTCAGGTAATAGGCCTGTTAGAGAAATGAGTAAAATTAACTTCCAGATTTAGGGCTTGTGATTTAGGCTAAAAGCTTAAGAAGCAGACCAAATGGCATTACAACAGAGGTCACAGGAAATCTTTTACAGCTAGCACAGATGTCATCCTCAGTTTACATGTTAGAAAAGCTGTCCAGGGAGGATAAAGATTTGCCACAGTGAATGCAGCTGGAAAAGTAGGGAAAAGTCAAGCATTTAACCTAGACCTTCTGATTTCTACATCAAGACATTCTTTTTACCACCTCATTTTTGCCCAGGGCTACAAAATCATACTCCCACTATTAAACTACAAAATCATACTCCCAGTATTAAACTACTAACAAACATCCTTTACCTAAATTCTCAACTCTCAGTTTATTTGAGAATTTCATGATGTCAATAAATAAAAAGCATCATTCAATTTATAATCATGTTTGCTAGAATGTCTCTAGTCTTTAAATCAGAAATGCCTATGCTATCAGTCTATGGTAAGAAAGTTAGCATTACTTATGCTCATATTTGAGATCTTCTAGCCCTGGATACCTGCTTTTCAAGTTCCAAATGAAGACTCTCATCAATGGCGTCATTTGGTTGTTCAGCCCTTTTCTTCAAGACCATTTTCTTTAGCAAATGAGAAGGCTTCATTCGTACAAGATAGTGATGTAGAACTGATATCTATCAAAAGACAGGCATTAAGCAATGCTAATCAACACAGTTGTTAGTTGCTCTTTCTTAGGCTACGTTTTTCAGTGTGTCCTCTGTTCATTTTACCTTTCCTAATTCTGCCCCTGTAGCTTTTCTGTAGTCCAATAATATCCATTTCCCTTTTATTTATAAGTCCTCAATTGTTTAAAAGGGATTTTAAGTTAAAGATTTAGGACTTGTGATTTAGGGTAAAAGATTAAGAAGGAGATCAAATGGCATTACAATAGAAATCACAGGAAATGCTTTCTTTATGAAATTATTTGAAAGTCAGTAAAATTCAATCTCCCTGTCAGGTAAAAAGTCATTGAATTCTGAGCAAGAGGTTGGGAAAAAAAAAAATCTCAACTTGATTCTGTAATCTGAATATCAATTACTGAGTTTCAGGGTTAATTATTCATATAATTCTTTTCTACATGGGCAAAAAGGGAACAGGTAACAGGACAAACAATAATTAGGAGGCAGGTGGTGGAAATTCTACTCCTGGATCTTTTCTTTTTCCTCCCCTGGTTCTTTTTTGATGGCAGTAAATATTAATCAAAGAATTGAGAGCTATTTGCTAATAACCCTATGGCTCAGGAGTAGTCTTCATGTATCTAGATTCAAATCTACCTCAACTATATTAAAAGCAGAAACCAGCTATCCCCGTCAATCTGTCTCCACAGCACCTTGCGCATACTTCTATTACTGTAATTCTTACTACACTACACCACAATGGTTGGCTTTTTTTTTTTCTATCAGCGTTTATATCTAATTCATGTTCTTATCCCTAGGGCCTAGTAGACTACCTTGTACTGAACTGCAACTGAAACAAGAACACAGGGACATCCAGCTCAGGTTCTATGGTGAATTTTCAAATCCAACTAAGGGTAATCCCATGAGTGCTGTCAATGTTTGTAAAAAGCCTTCTGGATACACTCATATACATGAGATATATTCACTACTGAGCAAGTACTGAAGGGCAATCACATTTAAGCTCTAAGATTGAAAAAGACCTTTTAATATTAAAACACGTGCGTGATATAATTAATGTACAATAGTTCTGCGATTTCTAATCTTGTGATAAAACTGCTAAACTGGATGAATTGAACCAATTCAATAAAAAATCTCAGCTTGTATTTATATAGAACATTATGATTTTCCCAGCAGCTACTGTACATTAATTCATTTGATGGTCCACAACCATCCTGTGTGGTAGAGGGTGTGATATGATCTGCATTTCAGAGATGAAGAAACTGGATCTTGTTAGTTAAGTACCATACTGAAGGTTACATGAATAGTGTTACGCTTGAGAGTTGAGATCTAACCCTAGGACTTTAGACTTAAGGCCCATTATTTTTCCCTACACTTCATTACCTCTCCCCATTTATTAAAAGAAAACAAAAATGTATTTATACCTGCAGATTATTGACATTAGGGACATCTTCATGTTTCTCATCCAAAAGCTTTGAAATAATCACTAGACTGAGGCACTGTCTCAGTTGTCTGGAATTAGAATTTTAAAGTATTTAAAATTAATTTTAATATTGCCAAGAAGAGTTCTTCTAGTTCCTTTAATTAGAAATACAGCCAATGTTTCGAGAAGACTGTCCAAAAAATGTAAAAGCTTTAATAGAACAGAAAAAACTTCATGTGAAATTTTTGTATATAAAGTCTAGAAGAGTTGCCTGAAGCTCACGCAAATCATTAAGAGCCTTTATCTTTGACTCTGCTGATTTACTGACAGAAAAAATCTATTTTATTGCTAGAATTTCTTTTTACTAAAGCAAAGCATGCTAATTCATTTATTTTCATGGTATGTATCATCTATATTAAATTATCAGATAAGTTAAAATTTAAAAAATCAGTATTATTACACAGTGACCTAAGTTAAATATCAAAATCATGCTATCAATGCCTCTTCCCACAACTGAATATGAAAAAAAGACTCCAACTGGCTGAAAATAAAGGTCCCCAAAGCATTTCATTAATATAAGCATTATAAAATTTCTTAATGTTTAATTCTCACTTTTCAGTACCTTCCACGTGATGTCCAGTTAGGAACCAGCTGTACCAACCACAGAAGGTTGTGGGGATTACTGGAGAGTTTATTTATGGCTAGACAGAGTTCAGTCACCTGAAAATAAAGAATGAGCAAGATTTCTTTTCAAATAGGTCAGTGGCATCAAACATTTAACAGATCATCCACATCCCTTCTTATAATCCTCAGCATTATAAAAGAGCATTTATTTTTATGAATAGCTTGAAGTCTAGAACCTGCTGAAATGTACACAGTACACGGATTCAGTTTTATCTTCAACTCTAAAACAGACAAGTTGATCAGAATTTCATCTGGCTTCCATGTTTTGTGCTATATTATATCTATATACATTTACATAGTCCATCTTAGAAAAATAAAGTGATCTAAATACAAGTATCAGTTTCCTAATCCATATAATAAGAGTTGCACAAGATCATGTATATTCCTGATCTGGGATTTCTTGCACTTTAGGGATCCTCACTATTTCAGTATTTAAAAAAAAAAAATTAACATCTTTACTTCAAAATAATCCAGAAGGTTCAAGTATGGGGTAGGGGTTAACAAATGAGTCAAGACAGACATGCTGAAACTGCCGATTCATTAAACTCTTTTCTCTACTTTTGCTTGTTTGAAATTATACACCAAAAAAGGCTGAAAAATATAATTTTAAAAAAGGCCTAAAGTCAACTGGCATAACAAAGTTTATTAAGAAAATGTTCTGCATCCCACTGTGGTGTGTGGCATCTGGGGTCTTAAAAGCTTGCAAGCGGCCATCTAGGGTGCATCAATTGGTCCCAACCCACATGGAGCAAATGAGAATGAAGAACACCAAAGACACAAGGAAAATATTAGCCCAAGAGATAGAAAGGGCCACATAAACCAGAGACTCCATCAGCCTGAGACCAGAAG